GCGTTTCGAGAAGAAAATGTTCCAAGATTAAGGCCGAGGTCTTTGGCAATATTTCCAATAACAGATCCACGTTTCATCTCCTCTGGAAAAGAATAGCTCAGATCTCCTCGAACAGGAGGCATTGTCACAATTATGGCAACAAAGCAGACGATCAGAAATAGCGCAGGGAATCTTTTGTCTCCCATCATCCGTGCAAATAGTCCTCAGCTAAATGCAGAAAATATGCTACAAAGCGAAAAAAGAACACTGTATTGAAAAGAAGATTTTTTTGATCTGCTAAAAATAGGTAGAACTCTAAATGTTCAAATATTTAACTGGTTCAGCATCTGAGATTTATCTGCTGTCTATACATTATTGGGTGGAGTGGCAAACAGCGGTGTCGCTGTTTGGATGAGCCAACAGCGACACCGTGAGTCATTTTTAAATGTTCACTCTAAGCTCTCTGAAACGTTTATGATACAGCCTTCAATTATGTGGTTCATATTTCACAATGGAATGGTTGAGAAAAGCAAAACCTTAAGTATTAGAGAAAAGTTGGCAATGAACTTCACTATTTCTTGTGTAAATTTCATTATTTAACTTTAGTTTCATGAATAATAATGAAAATAAAAATCCTAATGACATTACTACTATTTAATAATCAATAAATACATAAATTATTAATAATAATAATAATAATAATAATAATAATAATAATAATAGTAATAATAATAATAATAAAGACCCGTGGAATGTTATAATATAATATATTTTATGCTTTGTAGGTTCATGCAATAAACACTATGGAGGTTTATCATGTTTTGAGAAAGAAAAAAAAATCAATACTTCAACAATTAATTATGCTTACTACTAAAATGATTCAGCACCATGGACAGGTACATTCACAAAAGTGAAGATGGAAGAAGTAGAGCGAATATTATGCTGAGAGCAAGGATTTCACTGTAAAGCAAAAAAGTATTATCAAGGAAGAATCTCAAAATATGACAATATACCTGATATAATCATTTCCACAACCACTTTTTGCAAAACCCTGTCTTACATGTGTTGACTCAATTCAAAATGAAGGAAAAAAAATGATTCTCAATGATATGACAACACAAGAACTAAAAAATTAGTTTCCTACCTCCTCAGGTGTCTCCAAGCCTTCAAAGGGATCAATAAACCTAGTTGGACTTTTCCTCAAAGTCTGGTCAGCAGGCAGTGTGTTGTCATTGTAAGATGATACAAACTTAAAGTCACTGGTTCTAGATCCTGTTGTCAGGTAGGCATCATAATTGTAGGTGCTGCGTAAAGTTCCTGTTCCATCAACATCTGCGTAATTAGGAGGGAGATAAGCTCCTGGAATGGCTACTGCTCCATCAAACAACAGTCTGGGTTTTCTTCTGCGACAAAACCTCACAAGGATGATGATGATGAAGGTCAGAAAGAAGGTGGACACAGAAACCAGAGCAATGATCAGATAAGAGGTCAGCTTGGAGTTTTTCTCATCATAAGAAATGTCCTTCAGTTCTGGCACTTCAGCCAAGTTATCAGAAATCAGTAAATACATTGAACAGGTGGCAGACAGAGAGGGCTGTCCATTATCTTTCACTGCAACAATCAGGTTCTGTTTCATGCTGTCAGATTCTGAAATGTCCCGCTGGGTCCTGATTTCTCCACTGTGTAGATCAATACTGAAAAGTCCAAAATCTGTGGCTTTGACTATATGATAGGACAGCCAGGCGTTCTGTCCAGAGTCTGCGTCCACTGCGATCACTTTGGACACCAGAGACCCTCCATGTGCAGCTTTAGGGACCAGCTCAGTCATGAAGGAGCTGCCCTCTGGTGCTGGATACAGTATCTGAGGAGAGTTGTCATTCACATCAGATATGAACACACTGACAGTCACGTTGCTGCTGAGAGGAGGAGAACCATTGTCTCTGGCCATCATTTGGACTTTGAAACTCCTGAACTGTTCATAGTCAAATGACCTCACAGCGTGGATCACTCCTGTGTCTCCATTAACAGATAGATAGGAGGACACCGAGGCACCGTTCACCTCACCAGGTAACAGAGAATAAATCACTGTACCGTTTTGTCTCCAGTCAGGATCTCGAGCAGAAACAGTACATAAAGAGGAGCCAGGTTTGTTATTTTCACTAACATATGCGCTGTAGGACTGTTCCTCAAACACAGGAGGGTTGTCATTGATGTCAGCAACAGACAACTGAATAGTTTTAGAAGAGGACAGAGGTGGAGAGCCCTCATCAGTGGCAATAATTGTAATGTTGTAATCAGATACTAATTCACGGTCCAGTTGTCCTGTGGTCACTAAAGAATAATAGTTTTTAATAGAAGGAACTAGTTTAAAAGGAACGTTTTGCTGAATGGAACAGCGGACCACCCCATTATTTTGAGAATCTCTGTCCTGGATGTTAATTACACCCACCTCTGTACCAGGTGATACGTTTTCTGGTGAAGGATTGGAAAGCGTTTTGACAAAAATAGCAGGTGGATTATCATTTACGTCAATAACATCTATTAATACTTTTGCATATGAAGTCAGTCCTAACCCATCTTTTGCATGTATCCTTATTTCAAAATAATTATTGTCTTCAAAGTCTATGTCTCCAGTTACTTTAATTTGCCCAGTCTTTGAGTCAATAGAAAATAAACTTATGTCATGATCAGATACGTGTCCAAACTGATATGTGATGTCTCCGTTCACTCCCTCATCAGCATCAGTAGCACTAACTGTAATAACCAGTGTTTCTGGTGGAGAGTTTTCAGGCACACTCGCCTTATAAACAGCCTGAGTAAACACTGGGGCGTTATCATTAGCATCCAGCACTGTAACATGTATGACTACAGTACCTGATTTCTGCGGAGATCCACCATCTATGGCTGTTAGAAGCAAACTTAACTCTCTTTCTTTCTCGCGATCAAGTTTATTCTCGAGTACTAATTCAACCTTATTGCTGTCAACCGCGAGAACGAAATGATCGTTCTTCTGTAAGACGTATCTTTGTACAGTATTTTGACCTACATCTGCGTCATGGGCCTCTTCGATAGCGAAGTGATTTCCTCTGTCAGCCGACTCACTTATTTCCATTTCGATTAAATTTTCTCTAAATTGTGGCGAGTTATCATTTACATCCTGTACATGAAGACTGACGCGATGAAGCTCCAAAGGATTTTCCAACACCAAGTCGATCGTCACGACACACGAGGGTTTCTTACCGCAAAGGCTTTCTCTGTCAATTCTGTCCGACGTGATTAAATCCCCGGTATTCATATTAACGTCACAGTAACGTTTACGAGCCCCTTCAACATCTATACGAGCGTTTCGAGAAGAAAATGTTCCAAGATGAAGTCCGAGGTCTTTGGCAATATTTCCAATAACTGATCCACGTTTCATCTCCTCTGGAAAAGAATAGCTCAGATCTCCTCGAACAGGAGACATTGTCACAATTATTGCAACAAAGCAGACGATCAGAAATAGCGCAGGGAATCTTTTGTCTCCCATCCTCCGTAATAATGGTCCCCAGGTTACAACAGAAGCAATACTACGGTGCAGAAAAGAAGACTATATCGGCAATAAGATACATAATACACTTCATGCAGACAGTGGCGTAACTGTTCAAGTGTTAGCAGCTTCTGAATCAAAGCTTTGTCTGCTTTTTATGCATTAATGGGTGGAGTGCCAAGGGATATGTTGTTTTGCATGAGCCAACAGCGACACCGTGAGTTATTTTTATATGTTAGAATTTTTCAAAGTTTTCTCAGTCAAAAAAAATAATGTGGCATTTCATGCTACGGTTTATATTGAAAATTTTAAATACATTTTAGTAAATTGTCCCTCCCCCACCGAGCGTTTCTTTCCTCCAAGGAACATGTTGAAACCTTCGCTGGGGATTACATAAAGTTGTGTTACAAATACCAAACTAAATAAATATGTTATCTAACAGTGGCTTCCGCTCTAAACTTCACATAAATGTATTTCTTCCCTTGCATTTCTTTTCTTTCCTTTGCTTCACCCTTCTGCTGAGTTTCTAATTCATCAGGATGAGATTCAGAGGCGCGCCGGCGCCGCTGTCGCTGAATCCCATTAATGATTAGAGTGTCACACTGGCAAATTTACAAACCTCAAAGGAGACAATAAAGAAATCAACTGGAAGAAATTGCCAAAATTAAAATGGTAATAGATATATTACATTACATTATATTATATTATAGTATGATTAAATATACACGCTATGCAGGTTTACCGTATGTTTTAAGAAAAAAAAAAAAAACTTAAAGAGCCTATCCCACTCAGGTCTATTATGCTATGTAAAAAAAATTATTAAACAAACTAGAAACTTTTTTTGGTGCGGTAGTCGGGAAACTCTTCCGGATTATTTCACAAGCCATGACACTGTTCTTTGACAACAGGCAACATTGAAGAAATGTACCATATTGTGGCACCAATGTTCTCAACGTCGAAAAAAATATTCAAGACATCATCTTAAAATGGCAGCTTTTTGAATTCAAATGACATTTTATTGTGGAGCGGTGATAACATTTCAACTTAATTTGTGACCGGATGTGCGAAAAAAATGAAAAGATAAAACAACTCTCAAAAGCAGCAAAAACTTTTTAAATATATCAAAGATATTATGCAATAAAGCTGGAGGTTTGTAAGGCCGACAGGAGTGTGACTGAATAAGGTCACAAAATAATTAACCGACGTTACGTTAGTCGACAAACTGATTAAAACACAAGCGGCACTTTTGCAAAAAACGCCAAGTCACATTGCAATAAAAATTTGGATTTATTCATATAAATATAGTATGACTGATATCAAAACACAACAACAAAATAAAAAAATACACATCAATTTCCTACCTCTTCTGGTGTGTCTAGTCCTTCAAAGGGATCGGTAAATATTGTCGGACTTTTCTTCAAGGTCTGGTCAGCAGGCAGCGTGTTGTCATTGTAAGATGATACAAACTTAAAGTCACTGGTTCTAGATCCTGTTGTCAGGTAGGCATCATAATTGTAGGTGCTGCGTAAGTTCCTGTTCCGTCAACATCTGCATAATTAGGAGGAAGAGCTCCTGGAATGGCTACTGCTCCATCAAACAACAGTCTGGGTTTTCTTCTGCGACAAAATCTCACACCAAGGATGATGATGATGAAGGTCAGAAAGAAGGTGGTAACAGAAACCAGGGCAATGATCAGATAAGAGGTCAGTTTGGAGTTTTTCTCCTCATAAGAAATGTCTTTCAGTTCTGGCACTTCAGCCAAGTTATCAGAAATCAGTAAATACATTGAACAGGTGGCAGACAGAGAGGGCTGTCCATTATCTTTCACTGCAACAATCAGGTTCTGTTTCATGCTGTCAGATTCTGAAATGTCCCGCTGTGTCCTGATTTCTCCACTGTAAGGATCAATTCTGAAAAGTCCAGGATCTGTGGCTTTGACTATATGATAGGACAGCCAGGCGTTCTGTCCAGAGTCTGCGTCCACTGCTATCACTTTGGACACCAGAGACCCTCCATGTGCAGCTTTAGGGACCAGCTCAGTCATGAAGGAGCTGCCCTCTGGTGCTGGATACAGTATCTGAGGAGAGTTGTCATTCACATCAGATATGAACACACTGACAGTCACGTTGCTGCTGAGAGGAGGAGAACCATTGTCTCTGGCCATCACCTGGACTTTGAAACTCCTGAACTGTTCATAGTCAAATGACCTCACAGCGTGGATCACTCCTGTGTCTCCATTAACAGATAGATAGGAGGACACCGAGCACCGTTCACCTCACCAGGTAACAGAATAAATTGTACCGTTTTGTCTCCAGTCAGGATCTCGAGCAGAAACAATACATAAAGAGGAACCAGGTTTGTTATTTTCACTAACATATGCGCTGTAGGACTGTTCCTCAAACACAGGAGGGTTGTCATTGATGTCATCTACAGACAACTGAATAGTTTTAGAGGAGGACAGAGGTGGAGAGCCCTCATCAGTGGCAAGAATTGTAATGTTGTAATCAGATACTATTTCACGGTCCAGTTGTCCTGTGGTCACTAGAGAATAATAGTTTTTAATCGAAGGAACTAGTTTAAAAGGAATGTTTTGCTGGATGGAACAGCGGACCACTCCATTTTTTTCGGAGTCTCTGTCCTGCACATTAATAACACCCACCTCTGTACCAGGTGAGACGTTCTCCGGTGTGGGATTCGAAAGGGATTTGACATAAATAGCAGGTGGATTATCATTTACGTCTTTGACTTCTATTACTATTTTAGCATATGAAGTCAGCCCTAATCCATCTTTTGCTTGTACCCTGATCTCAAAAGAATTTTTATTTTCAAAGTCTATTTCTCCAATTACTTTAATTTGCCCAGTCTTTGAGTCAATAGAAAATAAACTTATATCATGATCAGATACGTGTCCAAACTGATATGTTACGTCTCCGTTCACTCCCTCATCAGCATCAGTAGCACTAACAGTAATAACCAGTGTTTCTGGCGGCGCGTTTTCAGGCACACTTGCCTTATAAACAGCCTGAGTAAACACTGGGGCGTTATCATTAGCATCCAGCACTGTAACATGTATGACTACAGTCCCTGATTTCTGCGGAGATCCGCCATCTATGGCTGTTAGAAGCAAACTAACATCCCTTTGTTTCTCGCGATCAAGCTTTTTCTCAAGGACTAATTCAACCTTATTGCTGTCAACAGCGACAGCAAAATTATCATTGTTCTGCAAGATGTACCTTTGTACATCATTTTGGCCTATATCTGCGTCGTGGGCTTCCTCGATAGAAAAGCGGTTGCCTTTCTCTGCCGATTCTCTTATTTCCATTTCAATCAAGTTTTCTCTAAATTTGGGGGAGTTATCATTCACATCTTCGACACGAAGAGTGATACGATGAAGCTCTAAAGGATTTTCTAATACCAGGTCGATTTTCATGATACACGAGGGCTTTTTCTCACAAAGGCTTTCTCTGTCAATTCTATCCGATGTGACTAAATCCCCGGAGTTCATTCTAATGTCAAAAAAATGCTTACGGGCCCCTTCGATGTCCACACGGGCCTTCCGGGATGAAAATGTATCGAGATCAATTCCAAGATCCTTGGCAACATTTCCAATAACTGATCCTCGTTTCATCTCCTCTGGAAAGGAATAGCTCAAATCCCCTTGAACGAGAGGAGGCATCGCGAAAATGGCAGCAAAGAAGACGATTGGAAAAAGCATAGCAAATCTTCTGTCTCCCATCTTCCGTGCAAATGGTATCCAGACCAAAACGGAAACAATTCCACAGTGCGATAACACTATATTAACAAGATGCTGCATAAGAATCCATGTACAGAGTCCAGTATTTTAAAATGTTCAAGTGTTGAGCAGCTTCTGCGACAAGGCAGTAGCTGCTCTCTGCGCATGAATGAGTGGAGTAGTAAATATGATAGTTATTGGATAAGCCAACAGCGACACCGTGAGTTGTTTTTGAATGTTTGAACATTGTATTCCAAGTTCTCCGAATCATAATATTTGAGCATTTATTGATATGATCCACATTAAACAATTTAAACTTTTTCAGAATGGAAAAATTACAAAATGTAAAACATTTACCAATGTTCGTGACAACTAGAAGGAGCTAATTAAAAAGGATAATTTGTCAATAGTGCTTTCAGTTGTCATAAATTTGACTCAATGATGACATTTGAGTTGCGTACATTTTTTGGATCGGAAATGCCTGACGCAAGTGACACTTGATAATTGGAAGCATTTTATTTCAATAGGGCCTATGTTATTTGCCACGTGTCGACGAAAAAAAAACAATGATAGATTAAAGTGTTTTATGACATAAATGATTACAGCAACTGAAAACGACTTCAGTAATGTTAAGCCGGAACCCAGCGCATTGCGCCATCACCAACGACTGCATCAACGGTGCCACATTAATTCAAATCGGAAAAATCCGTTGAATAAATCCCATAATATGACAAAACGAACTTCTTAAAATTACACTACCACTCACATGTTGACTGGTAATAAAACATAAATTCAGATGCGGAAACATTGTTGAACAAAGCAAACCGAGAATATTAAAAGTGCTGAAAAATCTGAAAAGCTCCTAAAGCATATTACAAAAACGTCTACGATTATTCGTAAAAACATACATTAATGACTGGAACTTGACTGAATATCGTAAAAAAATAAATAAATTTAAAAAAAAATAAAAAAATCACGCTTATATGACATTTGGCATAAAGGCAAATTTATTGCCGTAAATTTATAGGAAGTCGGAAACAAGAAAAAAATATGGGAAAGGAAAGACTAAAATAATCCCACACATATAAATGTTTCCTACCTCTTCAGGTGTGGTCAGTCCTTCAAAGGGATCAGCGAATTCTGTCGGGATTTTCTCGGGAGTCTGATCAGCAGGCAGCGTGTTGTCATTGTAAGATGATACAAACTTAAAGTCACTGGTTCTGGATCCTGTTGTCAGGTAGGCATCATAATTGTAGGTGCTGCGTAAAGTTCCTGTACCGTCAACATCTGCATAATTAGGAGGAAGATAAGCTCCTGGGATGGCCACCGCGCCATCAAACAACAGTCTGGGTTTTCTTCTGCGACAAAACCTCACACCCAGGATGATGATGATGAAGGTCAGAAAAAATGTCGACACAGAAACCAGAGCAATGATCAGATAAGAGGTCAGCTTGGAGTTCTTCTCCTCATAAGAAATGTCTTTCAGTTCTGGCACTTCAGCCAAGTTATCAGAAATCAGTAAATACATTGAACAGGTGGCAGACAGAGAGGGCTGTCCATTATCTTTCACTGCAACAATCAGGTTCTGTTTCATGCTGTCAGATTTTAAAATGTCCCGCTGGGTCCTGATTTCTCCGCTGTGTAGATCAATACTGAAAAGTCCAGGATCTGTGGCTTTGACTATATGATAGGACAGCCAGGCGTTCTGTCCAGAGTCTGCGTCCACTGCTATCACTTTGGACACCAGAGACCCTCCATGTGCAGCTTTAGGGACCAGCTCAGTCATGAAGGAGCTGCCCTCTGGTGCTGGATACAGTATCTGAGGAGAGTTGTCATTCACATCAGATATGAACACACTGACAGTCACGTTGCTGCTGAGAGGAGGAGAACCATTGTCTCTGGCCATCACTTGGACTTTGAAACTCCTGAACTGTTCATAGTCAAATGACCTCACAGCGTGGATCACTCCTGTGTCTCCATTAACAGATAGATAGGAGGACACCGAGGCACCGTTCACCTCACCAGGTAACAGAGAATAAATCACTGTACCGTTTTGTCTCCAGTCAGGATCTCGAGCAGAAACAGTACATAAAGAGGAGCCAGGTTTGTTATTTTCACTAACATATGCGCTGTAGGACTGTTCCTCAAACACAGGAGGATTGTCATTGATGTCAGCTACAGACAACTGAATAGTTTTAGAGGAGGACAGAGGTGGAGAGCCCTCATCAGTGGCAGTATGTAATGTTGTAATCAGATACTAATTCACGGTCCAGTTGTCCTGTGGTCACTAAAGAATAATAGTTTTTAATAGAAGGAACTAATTTAAAAGGAACATTTTCCTGGATGGAGCAGCGAACCTGTCCATTATTCTCAGAGTCTCTGTCATGAACGTTAATTATTCCCACCTCTGTACCAGATGGTAGGTTTTCAGGTGTGTTGCTGGACATTGATTTCAGATAAATAGCTGGTGCATTATCATTCATATCGATAACGTCTATTAGCACTTTAGCATATGAGGTCAGTCCTAAGCCATCTTTGGCTTCAACGCTAATGTCAAATGAAGTTGTTTCTTCAAAGTCAATCACACCAGTTACTTTAATTTTTCCGGTTTTTGGATCAAGCGAAAATATATCTAGGTTTTCTTCAGACACATGTCCAAAGTCATAAATCACGTCTCCGTTCACTCCCTCATCGGCATCAGTAGCACTAACAGTAATAACCAGTGTTTCTGGTGGAGAGTTTTCAGGCACAGTCGCTTTATAAACAGCCTGAGTAAACACTGGGGCGTTATCATTAGCATCCAGCACTGTAACATGTATGACTACAGTCCCTGATTTCTGCGGAGATCCGCCATCTAGAGCTGTTAGAAGCAAATTAATTTCCCTTTGCTTCTCTCGATCGAGATTATTTTCCAATTGTAGCTGAACCCTCTTACTATCCGCTGAAAGTATAAAATGATCGTTCTTTTCAAGTACGTATCTTTGAACGTCGTTTTGACCCATGTCCGCATCGTGGGCCTCCTCGATAGAGAAGCGGCTCCCTTTGTCTGCAGACTCCCTAATTTCCATTTCGATTGAATTCTTTTTGAATTTAGGCGGATTATCATTCACATCATGTACATGAAGACTGACGCGATGAAGCTCTAAAGGATTTTCCAACACCAGGTCGATTTTCACGACACAAGAGGGTTTCTTACCGCAAAGGCTTTCTCTGTCAATTCTCTCCGATGTGATTAAATCCCCGGTATTCAGATTAACGTCACAGTAACGTTTCCGACTCCCTTCAACATCCACACGGGCCTTTCGAGAAGACAATGTACTGAGATCAACTCCAAGTTCTTTGGCGACATTTCCAATAATGAATCCCAGTTTCGTCTCTTCTGGAAAAGAATAGCTCAGGTCTCCTCGGACGAGATGTTTTGTCCCGGTAAGGGTAACAAAGAAGTGGATCAGAACAAGCACCTGAAAGCGTTCGGGTCCCGTCATCGTAAATCAATGCGTTCACAGGCGTTTGCAGAAATGGCTTAAAAATGGACTAAATTATCGCTCAGCGGGAAACACAAAGAAAGGCACAATCTTCGTCATCTTAGTAAAGGTGTAACAGTAGGTGGAGAAATGTGCTCAGCTTGTATGTTAGCCCACAGCGGCACCGTGAGTCGGTTTTCGTCATCTGCAGCTCAATGTGGAAAACTCCGTCCTCAAAACAAAGAAACACTAAAGCTTTAAATATAATGAACAAAGAAAAAAAAATGGAAAAACTCTCTTCCGGGTGCATAAGTTCAGCCAAATGTGTTAAAAATGTTTTCCAAGTTTTCAGCAACAGTGCAAACAGTAAAGGTGATGTTTAATATCCCCACGCTTAAATGAGCGCGACGCTTTCAGGCCTGAAAGTGGTGGTTTCAGCACCACGGACAGAGACAGTCAATTTCTCTGCCGTCATCTCAAAGCCTAACAAAACTGGACAAAATTCCACCATAAATCAACCAAAAATATGCAAACAAATAAATGTGGCCAAATTAAATATCAAATATCAAGTGTCCTGTGTCTCAATGTCCAAAAAGACTCCAGGATAAACTGATAAGCCTCATTTACAAAGACTTGGAGAAACCAACATGTGCCGAAATTGAGAAAAAGTGCTAATAAATCCAGATGTTTTAATCCGTGAGTACTGATGGATCCACAGACATGATCTGTCCATCCCATCTGTCCACCCCGTCCTGGCGGATGGGATGGCGTGGACAGATAACCCATTCTGTCCACCCCCTGTAATCAAGCAAACTTGTGGGATTACACAAGTTCACTAACAAAGAAATTAATCTTCCTTTTATACACCTTTGTTCAAACATGGGGAAGAAGAACCGAGTAGTATTTCTAAGTGTGTCGTGCTAAAGGAGCCAGCCATCATTTATGTGCAAAATCAGAGATCTACCAACAATGTCCACCATTTACGTCGATCGCACACACCATTACTGTAAAGGAATGCAGAAGTACAAGGAAAGAGGGAGGCCCCACCTTATGAAGTTTGCATGGATGTGTTCAGATAGCAGCTGTAAACGCTCAACGCGGTGAGATTCCAGCTTCACAAAAAACAATGAACACTCCACTTGCAAAAAAAGAGATATGTCCACCACGAAATATCATCTCCGAGTACAACTGTACTCAATTCCAATCTTGCTGCTAATTATAATGAATGAATCGTGCCAAGCCACTTCATCACAAAGCCGGCGAAAAGCAGTTGTTCATCAGAAAAGGCTCATCCAAATGCCAGTTCTATTTGATGGTGTGATATTACAGATATAGAATAAAAATAAAAAAAATAAAAACAGGTACAATATTCTCAAATGCACAGAACAATACACCTGTGCAGAGGATTATTTACGCCTGCACAGAACAGTATTTACAAATGCACAGAAGGATTCACACACAAACGGAAGAAGATTCACAGATCATGTCTGTGTATTTTTGATGCAAACAAATTTATCTTGATGCCTCAGGTCTGTGGAATTTGATGCATTTGTATGTGAATTTGGACACTCATCTGACTACTGTCTTTTTTTTTTTTAAAGCAGGGAATGACAAGGGAGAACAGACAATTGGTGGATGGATGGAATGATCTGCAACCAATCTGCATTGTTTCAGCTAATGGTGAGAATGGAGCCTGGAGAATACATTTGATTCTATTCTGTGTTTTGTCTGTTCTGAATGTATCCTGGGAGTTGTTCTTGGCCCCAAGATGATAATAGCGATTGTACATTTTCAATTGTTATAAAGCCACAGTCTTAAAATGATAAATTACTATAGCAATATAATAATTAATTTGAATAGACATTTTATAAACACAGAGCGATTATTTTACATATCCTGCAAGGTTGAACATGCCATCTACCAAAATGTGTCCCCACCTCCAATGTGAAAAGTTTTGATCAGTAGTACAGGGGTGGGTACATTTGAAATGTTTGTTTTAGTATCTGAGTAAAATTTCTGAGATCACTCTTCAACATGTAACAAACATTTCAGTCCTGACATACAATATCTTTATATTTGATCCCATAGATGGTGAGCTACCTGGCCACAGCCAAACTGACAGCAACAACGATGACGAAGACAGACACTTACCAAAGAGAGAATAGAGCAGTAAATTGGTGTTGTAAACTCTTTTTACTTGAAATCTGTTTCAGTTGCAAATAGCCTTTGTATGATTAATTATTCTGAATCCCTGGTCCTAAAAGATTTCCATAGTGATTTAAAAAATTGCTCACATAATCCTAGAAGGCTGAACATGTCATCTGGCAAAATGTATGTCCCCTTTCCAAACTGCATGAATAGCTATATGAGTCATGTGTACTGGACCAAGGAAACATAAGGTTCCAAAACAAAGGGCTCTTGAAGCCTGGAATATTTTATCTGAGCTAGATGAGAAATAAAAACAAAAAATAATAAAACAGTATGAAAACAATAGGCTTTCGCAGCACTTTGCTGCACGGGCCTAAAAAGCTACAGAACTAGTGTGTATATCAAAAACTTCAAAAACAGGAAGTCATTCTGCAAAAAAATTGACATTTCTCGACAGATGTCGATAATGCTTGAGAATCAAGCTTCAGAAATAATTGCTCTTTTTTTTTTTTTTTAAAGGGATTTCATTTTACAAGAGGGAGTGACAGCAAGAAGTTGATGTCATTTGCCTCTTCACAAGTCCAAAGCAAGAACTTATGGAACTCAGGACCATCACCAAGTCCTGGTGAAACATCCTGGAGATCTGGTAGTGGCTGGGGAGCTTCAAATGGAAGAAGCAGGTCAGCCACTGGAGAAGCTGAAGTTTCAACCTCCACACTGAGGTTTCTAGTCGGTAGTTTCCACCTAATCCACAATGTCATCAGGTCTGTCAGCACATCCCATGTCACTCTGGAAGAAAATCAAAAAATTATATCGGAGTAGATCTTTAAAAAAAAATAAAAAATAGGAAGTAACAATTTTCTAATAAGATTCTTAATTTTATTAGTATTTTTAATCCTGTTTAGAGCTCTTAGATAACAGGTGACAAATGTAAAACAGAACAAGTTGTTACACTTGTGTTGGACTTAGAGGGTAACAAAAGTGAAATCCCTATAGTCTTTTCCTTTCATAGTTTAAAATGTTAGATGATTTCTTTATATACTGTGTGAACCCTATGCATTTGTGAATCATTCTTTGCATTTGTGAATCATTCTTTGCATTTGTGAATCTTGTTCTTTGCATTTGTGAATCTTGTTCTTTGCATTTGTGAATCTTGAGACTGTTTTTAGCTTAATAGCTCTTACCCCATATGGTACAAACAACATATGGAGATATTTCAAAAGTTACATAAGACAGAGGAGAGTTGTTCTCTTGCTAGAAGAGTTGAGCATGTAAAACTTGGAAAGTTGTGCCTGCATGAACTAGGAGGTCCCTGGCAAGAGGACCAGATCTACCAGATACAGGAAGCCATATTGTGGAGCTAAGTGAATAGACTCACTGCTCAGAACTGCATGCTACCATATAAACATGTATGGATAAAGTCCACAGCTTGGAGGTGCAACATACACAAGCAACGACACCAAAGACGGGACGTTTTTGGTGTGCTGTCTATTCCCACATAAAAATACAGAGTGCCGGTAGTTTCAGTGTGGCTTCATCCCTCTGATCGCAACCGGTTTGTAAATTTGATTACTAAATAAATATTTTTTTTAATTATTTAAGTCATACAGAGTCTTTTCTCAAACATTTCACAGATCATATAATATAGGCAAACAGCAGGTAAAAAGAAAAAATCCTGGCATGACTAAAGTGCCCATATATTTCCCTTCCTAGTCCAGTATAAGAATTCAAATTAATGGTAGGAAAATTACTACAATTGTACTATATTAAATTAAAATAAAAAAGTTTTTTTTCAATAGCTTGCAAAATATACGGTATTTAATCATGATCAAATCACCTCTTAATTAGACTCAAAACTGACAAAAGCACGATCATCTGCCCAGCAAGCATCATAGCTACCAAACATTAACACTATAACAGGAGCAGAAACTCAAAATGCACCAAGAGCAGCATCATTATTAACAATTAAAAACAGAAATGTCAGCAACATTTACCAGACTGGAACACCGTTAGCATTATGCTAACCGGAAATACATGAGCATCAAATAAACCACAGCAACGGTAATAAATGACTGAAGAACAACCGACAGAAAAAAGATGAACAGAAAAAGTCAACAAGAAAGGAGCAGTGCATTGTAGCAGAAGACACTAATAAAACAGAAGAGGTAGCTTACCGGCCAGCTGTAAAATCAGGTCTAGCTAGTAGCTTCCCGTCTGAGCAACTTTATCATCATAGCAAAGGAAAACTTTCCGGTGTACAGTAATGGCAGGGGGCGAAATTGAAGAAGTAATGCTTAGTTTGATAACTGTGTCACTTTTATCCAAAACTTTAAAAAGTGACAAATTCAAGGACTTCCGGGTTGTTGGAGATTTTCATGGCGACGACGCCAGCAGGGAGCTGAGGAGAGCATTTCCCGCTTCCCAAGGCAGTTTGACAGCCGTCCGTCCTGCAGCAGAGCAGAGGAGAGACCCATTTCACTCCACGTCCATGTCCTTACCGTTTAAAACAAAAAGGACATTTCAACAACCGCTGAGGCACGTTTTGACCAAAGGAGCCAGCACTGACGAGTTCGGTCAAAATAACGCAGAGCGAAACAAATATACCTTAGAATGCCCAAATTCGCAAAGACACATAACATTAGAACCCCTGAATAACATTTTTAGACACTTTATCAGTGTTATGTAGAAACGTAATGTCCCTTTAAAACTTACAGAAATTATCCATGAAAGATCCTTAAATTTTAAGCTCTTTTTTTTTTCTTCCAGAAGTATATGTAACAAGTAAACCTCTAAAATAAGGTTTACCTGGTGGGGGATGTCTCTGGATTATAAAATTGCAGACAGTTGATGCTATAGATCAGGGGTAGGCGAGAGCTGGTCTCCTGCAACTTTTAGATGTGTTTCTACTTCAACACACCTGAGTCAAATAATGGGGTCATCAGCAGAACTCTGGAGAACTTGACTGCATTTAGGAGGTGATTGAGTTATTTGAATCAGCTGTGTTGGACCAGGGAGACATCTAAAAGTTGCAGGAGACCGGCTCTCGAGGCCTAGAGTTGCCTACCCCTGTTATAGATTATCAAAATGTGTGCCGTCAATTCACTGCATTCTCTTCATTTTGACAGATTTTCTGTTAATTTAGTTAAAAAAACAAACGAGCCAATGATTGCCATCGCTTAGCCAAAGGTCAAAGTCGGATATTCTGTGTCGAAGTTGATTTGCAAAAAAAAAAAAAAAGTGAAAACACTGACGAGCTTCTTGAACGGGCTTCTTGCTTCTAAAACCGATGCGCTGTGAGATTTCAACCAGGAGATGGCGCCTTTACTCCTGACTGCTTCGTCTCCTCTGCGTTTACAGCAAATGCTACAAACAGAGCAGCAAATAGACGATGCAGGGCTAAATGCCCCTCAGAAAGCGTTGACGTTGTCAGGCCCCGACTGACTGACCTCGTGTCCTTGTTAAACTCAGCAGCTGGAGAATTAAGAGACCAAACCGGTCTGAGTATCTTGAGCCCACTGTCACAAATATGGCTGTTCTGTTCCAACCCCATTTCTCTGTTTTTGCAGACAGCAACAAGAAAAGCTCAAATTATGTTTTTTTCATTTTTATTTTACTAAAATTAGCATTTTGTTTGATAATAATAATAATAATAATAATAATAATAATAATAATAATAATAATAATAATAATAATAATAATAACTGCTCTCCATAAAAAACATAAAGTCAAAGTAACTGAGTTATTGAGTCATATTTATCACAATCTTATGAACTGACTGTCTCACCATTAGGGGCGCTATCTCAAGTCGAATGTGTTGCATGTGTTTCCCACAAGCTCATATGATTGTACACATTAATCTCACCATCTTCAGCCGAGTCACTTGATTTTGCTTCTGTCCTCCAGGATGATGGTGTTGCTGACTCACTGCAGCTGGCAACATCACCAGTCAAGTCAAGCCCTAAGACAACAACTATTTACCAGCTGTGTTTCAGTGTGAAATGACTGGAGAAACCAGTCAGAGATGTATTTATCTGTTTTTTTTTTAACACCTTTTAGTTGCATTTAATTTAAAATTACTGCTACCTTAACAATTCATGGTCTTTTTCGTTGACTCCCTATTATAAGAGTTAAGAATGGATACGTATTTGATGCATATTGTTTTGAATTAACCTTTGTATTGTCTATGAATTCCCAACATATACAAGCTGTAAAACAAAAGTGGCAACTGCTTTGCAGCATTAGTGTGCTTAATGTACATATTCAGTAACAAGAGATTTTTTCATTATTTTTTGTGTGTGTGACAACAAAGCATTAGAGGCTGCTTTCAGAGTGTTTGTTTCTTAACTTATTTGCATAATGCACAGAAAATTCAGAAGGACCAGCACTCGCGTTGTTCGTGCTCTTGGGAGTAACTGGAGGCATTTTGAATGTGTGGGTGTTATTTATTTATTTAAGTGTTTCTTACGTCTGTGGATTTGCTGCTCATACAGCCAAAACATCAAGCTATGACTGTGAATATTTAGTAGGAGAAGAGAAGCGAACGTAATCAGTGAAGTGTTTTCTCTGCCATTTGTCAAAGCCACGCCCTTGACCCCCATCAGGGAGCCTCACTAGCTCAATATGTCCATGTTTGATACATACACATGGCTGTTACTATAGAAACCAGTCCCCAAATAGCTGTAGCCATGGAAACACCTTTTCTGTCGCCATCAGGGTGCAAAAAGAAAATGCAGCCTTTTTTTTTTTTTTTCAGCAGTTCTGTTGACATGAACTCTTGAACCTTCTTTATCATGCTCTTCACTCTCTGGATGAAAAATGAAAGTCAAAACTGTCAGGGAGTCTTTTCTGTCTCCATATAATTTAAGAGCAGAAGGAACATATTGAATGAAGCTTTAGGCTAAAGAAAAGCCTGAAGAGTGATTACGACTTAATTTTTTCGCTTGTAGAAAGCAAATAAATCCGCTGGGTGCCACAGATTCAACTTACCTACAAGAAGCTTTTAAGATGTTTGATCGAGTGGATGACTAATTAAAAATATTGATCATCGAGCTTTCATTTCTCTCAAGACCATCATGAGTAATGCCTCTCTGATTTGATTAACTATTTCCTTCAAACCTACCCACTGAGACCCTATAAATCTATTTAGCCACTCTATTAAATTATTGTACGTCTGGAAGCTTCGTTTTCATACGGGACTGTTTGGACCATCTGCGACAAGGCTTTCAGAAAGGAGAGGCTGAGCTGCGTAGATCATTGTGTGCGTGTGTGTTTCATCTCTGCAGGGTGACATCCTTTCTGACTGCTTGTTAGTCCACAAAAGGAAGTGTGACATGAAAGTATGTGATGGAAGAGTGCAACCCGAAGACAGTTTTGACAGTTTGTCAGCCTGGCTCATCAAAATTATATGAACTCTTTCTCTGTTTAACTCATCCATTTCTTTCCTCCACTAGCCTGGACCTAAATAGAAAAAGAAAAGCATTCCTTCTAAAAGTCTTTCTAATATTTAATTATGTTTTTCAATATAATAAAATCTCAGCCTACTATTCCTATAAACTACACTTGGAAAAGCCACAGAACCATAAGACACACACACACACAGTAGGACAAAACAGTCTGGCGTAAACATCCCCAAAACAATAAATCCGAGTGTACGCTTAAGAAAGAAAATTTTATTTGTGATTTTTAAACCAAACACATTACCACTGTATCCATTTAGGTAAAATAAAAAGTCTGAAAAATAAATGAAATAAATGAAATCCACTACTTTTCACTGTTACAGTTGATGAGAAGGTGTACAAAAAAAAGGTTTCACAACATTTCTCTGCTAGTCCACTCAGGACAGCACACTGCCACCATAGTTCACCACCATACATTTGGGAAAGAATGACAGCATGAACACTCACTAAACACAAGGATATACTAACATATAATCTTTTTTTTTTCACAGGATTTTTTTTCTTCCATTTTTTTTTATAATGAGAGTGAAAGGGAAGTGATAGCTCTTCATAGAATCATACATATTTCAGTTACAATAATACAGAGTTAAATCGTCATGTCAAAGCCAGAGACAGAGTGATTTGTTTTTTTTTTTTTGTTTGCTTTTTAAAGCTTTATTTATTTATTTTTATTTTATTTTTATGTTTTTTTTATTTTTATTTTTATTTTTGCTTTGCTTTGCTTGTTTTGAAACGCAAAACCACTGTTGGAAAAAGAGAGAAAATGAACTTGCAGTTGAAAGGTATCACACTATATCATTTACAAATACCTAAAGAAGGTTAGTGGATGCCGGAAAACATCTGTGGAGTGTGAACATTGTGGTACATGGATGCTTGGGAGCGACAGCAGTACATACAGATACTTCCTGTGTGATTAATGAAGAAAAAAATAATAGTAATAATAATACAAAAGAATAAAATCAGAGCAATCTATCTATCTATATATATATTTCTCTATATAGTGTTTGTTTCCGTAGAGCAGTACATGCAGCAGCCACTTAATGGAGTGACGTCATACTGAGCCGCAAAAACTTTTGGGACGTGGCAACAAGTTACAGGCAACGGGAGGGTAACCAACAGAAGCAGGTCTTGAGGCACATCAGTGCCCCTTTTCAAAAAACTGTCTGTGAGAAGGTTGGTGGGATAAAGCTCAGGGAAAAAAATAATCCCTGTGTGCCCAATATTTCTCAAGTTCCAATAGCTACTGTTCAGTCTATGAGAAGTCTACGATACATTTACAGCGTACATAGAAGCTAGTATGTGACTTAATGTTCCTAAACAATCAAGTTGGTGATTTTTTTTTCTTAATCGCTCCTTATTTTATCACATTTCTTTTCAGTTGCTGTAATCAGCCCTATCCCACCATACCTCCTCTTGTGATTATCTACAAACAGGAAATGAACCACATACCGTAGTATACACAAGTTAAAAAGCACTGAACCATTTTGCACTTCAGAAGCACCTGACACGGGTTCAGGGTGCAAAGCCCTGTTTGGTTCTCCCTGGGCCTCGTCCGCATTACTCCATGCTGTTCTCAGCACACCACAATGTTCAGAGCAGGCCATCAGAGCAAGGGGTCGAGTGGGTGTCTGAGGACAACAGTGAGGTGGGAGTATAAAGCATAAAGCGGTTAAAGCCATGAAGAAAAATAAACACGGGTATTATTGAATCTCTTGAAAGAACAAAAAAGACATTTCATACATTTTACATGAGAAGCAGTCGACATGATGAGCAATGAGCAAAATAAAAGTGATTTTTAGTAAAATTTGGTTTTGTGGCAGCTGGGAACAAATACAAGCATCTGTAAACTCAAGGTGTCAGGTAAGGATTGGTTGCTACCAAACATTCAAAGCAGAAAGCGTTTAGCTGTTGCTGCAAAAAGGAGGAGAAAAAGTGATATCAAAATTTCTCCAAATACTCTTCAGAGTATATTCAGAGTCCACCATATAAAGCCACCTCAGCTGTACTCAACCCTCTGTGATGCTCAGGAGAATGTGAAGCATCTCCCCATTTTCTCTCCATATTTTCCAGTGGACTCTCTCCTCCTCAGTTGGGATTCTTGCAGAAGATAAAGCTCTTTGTGTGCTCTCCAAGCAAAGATAGAGCTATTGCAAATGGTTCTTCTTCCATCCTGAGAGAGTTGATGTACATCTGCACTCTCAGAAGTGACTGTGCAGGGCAAAGAACTTGCAGTGTCCAGTTTTCAGCCAGTCTTTTCTCTTATATTTTCTCTCACTCGTTCTTTCCAGGCCTCAGGTGCTTCCTGTGTCAATTGTCTTATGGGTAATAAGTTGCTGTTTGCACGTTTGGATGTGTTAGTGTGCGCACATGTGGTTTCATTGAGATTTAAGGGAACACTGTTGGTAATTACCAGTGAATCTGCAGCAGTGCCAGTTTAGCCTTTAGTTTCAGTGACTCTTGTTTGTGCTATTTACAAGTAGAGTGTGTCCAGCTCCAGACTGCATGCATCTGTGTCAATCTTTTCACATTTTCCTCTTTTTTCCTTGGCTGGCACAGCTTTATGTTGTTTATGTTCAATGTACTGGTCTCTTTGATTAGAGAATTCTTTACACATTGTCGCTGGGGAGTGGATAAGACAGAGGTGCCAACGTGCCCAGTGGGTTAAAGGAGAAAAGAACAACAACACAAGGACAAGGATTGTCCTTCCATTTTCCAAAAAGATAGTAAAAGTAGACTCAGGGTGCATAGGCACATTGGGGCATGGAGAGGAAGAAACAATCATTCTCTTTTATTTTAAAATATTAATTATATAAAGGCAAGACAAATAATTTAGATCAGTATTTAACTGAAGATAAACTATATCTTGATAAGGCCAGAATCATAACAGAAAAAGCTTTGAAACTTTATCAGCAATAATGAATGATGGTAGAAAATATTCTCTTTTTACCCAGTGAACTTTGGTTGGTACCTCTGTTTTAGCAGCACCCTTTTCTTCTTAGCTATTTTACGCATTTTCTGCTCTCTGCTTTACTCGTCACCATCATCCTTGCCTTTATCCTTCTTATCTTTCTTCTCCTTTTCCTTCTTCTTCTTCTTCTTTTTCTTGGCCTCCTCCTTTTTCCCGAAGGTGATGAAATCACTCTTGTCGTCCTCTCCTCCCTGGTTCTGTCTGATGGAAATTATGGCTGGGGAGCCAGGAATGATGAATGCTTCTGGAGGAACCTCCCCAGGCTTCAGGTGCTGTGGGGGCGCTCCGGGACCACCTGGGCCATAACGAAAGTGCCAGCTGTTGCTGTCTACGCCGGCACCCATAGGTGGGGAAACTTCTCCTCCTTCACCGTCTAAAAGAGAAACGCAGAGAGATTAAAGATTAGCTCCAAATCTCTTATGAAATCAAAGACATAAATACATAAATTCTTCAAATTTTTATGACTGAATGAGATGTTTGCTTGCAAGTCCCTCTATTTATGTGTTTTACAAATTCAGTACAGCCTCTTGCTATTTTAAATAAATAACAATCTGCTCATATCACTACATTTTTTATTTCTTCCTTGAACTGAACACAAGTTAAATATCACTGCCTTGCTGCATATGATTGTAAGAGACAATCTCAGTGGGTCATCATTTAATCATATGCTACAAGTTAAATAAAAGTCAAAGGAGAAAAAGGCATGACACATTCATAAAATCAAAGTCAATGCAATCCAACTCTAATTAAAATTCACAGATTTTCACAATCTGTAGTCTTTAGCACTAAGAACGGGTACTATTTGAGAAGGAAAACGATTAAATGAATGGATGAAAGTCTCACTTGAATCAAACACTGCTATTCCAATCAAATCTTTACACACACCCATCATAGGCTTGAATGACATTAACTTGAAGCTTTTGATAGTTTGGTTTCTTGTCAGGATGGACTAAAAATAAACACAACTTAAGCGGATGTTAAAATCTGATTTATTTTTAGAGTGGCATAAATGTCCTTTAGCACACTGGCGAAAACCCATTTAGCACAGTTAAACACTGCAGATTTTCAGCATGCCTGCAGTCAGGGCCATTTAAGAAGCTTAACATTATCCTGCTTTACCCATTCACAAACCAGTTTTGCTTTGCCTTGTTCTGTTGGGTCTCATAAATGTTCAAGAATTTTCAGCTGTCATTATTCAATCCAAACATCTTTTGAACTGCAATAATTACTAGCAGGACCACTATGCTCAACATGTCACAGATGCAGACATGAATAAAAAACAGGATGTTTTAGACTACGTATTTGTTAGAATTGTGATGATGTTCTGGGTTTGTGCAGCTCATCAAACTTCTCTTTGTCTCCTTGTTGGTAAACGAAAGACTCAAAGTAATCCTCTAACTCTTCTGATTTCTGTTTTGGTAATTCTTTTTAGTAAACAAATTTTGTCTATAATTTACCTTGTTACATTATTTTTCACAAGAAAAACAACATTATATTTCTGGTGAATGCATTTTGTTTAATTATAAACTTAACTGATGGGCCACAAGAGTAATATGTCCTTTCTCTTCAAGAAAATACCCCCAAAACACTCACAAAACCTAAACATGTAAATCAGAAAAGTCTAACGTGACTACATGATTTTTAGTCATATAAGAATCTTATCAGCATTGAGAGTGAAAATACCATGACCAAAACTGAATGTGCTTCAGCATACAGAGTGTTAGGAAACGACATGCAGCCATTTTGCTTTACTCTGCAAAGCAATGACCTACTTGCCATTGTTTCCTCACATACACTCTTTGCTTGTCTGATTCCTTTCCTGAGCTGTTACCAAAGGGGAGATTAACTGAGGACAGATCCAGCCAAGCTGAAAAGAAAATTATGTCTGGTAAAGGACAACTGGCCTCTTGCACTACTCAGTGTACACAAGCATCTGAGTTTTATGTTGTTTTTTTTTTCCTTTCCCACATAACATAATAATACAAGTGAAAATTTGCTGTACAAGTGAAACAAACATTTGAAAAGGGTATTTTTTTTATGAGCTGGCAATAAACTTTGTGCATCCATTTTAATATTCCAAAAATTAAGAGTGGATACGGTACACTGATGGAATATTTATTAAAAACAGAACAGAAAACCCAGATTCTTAACATCTATATACTGTGACGCATCAGTCACATTGTTTCTTTTTCCTTTTGGCAGAGAAAAATTTCCCATTTGACTTCTCAAATATATATAAAAAAATAGAATAAAAAAAAATAAACAAATTAAAGCAAAGACCAAACAGATCAAGCCCAAAAGGAATAAATGAGAGCACCTAATAAAAACAATATTGGCGAGTTGTTTCTCCAAAGCATCCATTTTGTTGGTTCTAAAATAAAACCTGTCTAAGTGAAAACTTGATGAGACAGTGGTGCCTATGTGCAGCCTCGCACTAATAAACTTAATTACACCCCAGAGAGTGATGAGTCACAATGAAAGCAGACACATGGAACACGTAAGGCAGGCCAGAGTAACACTGCATTGTTTAATTCTCATTTCAGTAAATAAGAAAAAATCTGAAATCTGTACAACACTCTGAATGTATTGTTGTTTACATGCATCATTTTTTCAACAAATACTGATATAAAGATTGCCTTCCTTTTAATTTTATTCAGTTTATTTCTGTCTCTCCTGACGATAATAAAATCCGCTCGTCCAGCAATGTTCCAAAGCAAAGCACCTTCCTTTTTCCTGGACTGTGAGAAGTGATTCTGTGCAGAGCCCCTCCCTTTCCTTCTGCCTCTTCTTTTTCTTGACCTTTTATCTAATCCAGCGTGAAAAACATTGTAAACCAACACCCATCCCTCTGAGTAATTGATGCAACTCTTAATTAAATCAATCAGAGTTGGTGATAACATTAATGTGATCTCGAATTAAACTGCTAGCCCATCAGCCATAACCATCAAGTACATTAGATACACTGACAGTAACATATTTCATAGTTATAAGGGTTACTTCTCTCTGTACATATGCTGTCTGAAGATTTTAACCCTGCTGCCTTCAGGAGGGTTGCAATGAGCTGTAAACCCCATTGCACTGCAGCCTGCGATATTTTCTGCATGTTCACTCTCTTAAATTGTACTTCCGAAGTCGTCAGTCAAGCTTCTTCTTGTGTCAATGTCCCTTTATTCTCTTTGTGCCTCCAGTGAGTTTTCACAGCCACTCAAATCAGCCAAGCTCCATTTTGCCACATCTACTTTATTCATTCGCTTGTCTTGCCCAACATCAGCCAGTTGGACAGTTGCACAAAGGACTGCAGCGCAGTGTTACATAACGTCCTAAGGAGGAGGAGGAAGAGGGGCCATGAGGAGCATAGATGCAGATAAAAATGGTGATGCCTAACACAAAACTAAAGCATAGAAGAGAAGAGAAAAAAAAGGTCTCCTGGATGTGATTGTTCACATATCAATCCTGCAGAGGGACCACACCTATTTTTAGAGGGTATATTTTAACCTGCTGTGCAGTGCATGAGTATATTCAAAGACCAAAAATATGACATTGCTATCATCTCAATCACATGTTGCATTTTACTTTATGGCAAAGTAAAATGCCATGTTTGTTCATGTATTCTCAAACATGAACAAAAAAAAAGTGTGACACTATCTTTATGATAGTATCTGGTGCTAAGGCTAAATGTGTGTGTGTAGAATATTAGGTGTGTTCCTGGTTAGGTTTCTTGTTAGTTTCATCATAATAACATTGTATTTCCCAGATATAGCAGATGGTTGATGCAAACTTTAAAAGTATAGATACTGCTCTAAAATTCAGCATCTCCAGGCAGGTTTGAAAGTGTGTGTCTGTGTACATCTCAACATTGTTGAAGTGACAAAGGAAAGTAGTGTGAAAAAAGGATTTATACCTTAGTGACATAAAGGAGGTGAGAACTGGCATGAATTTTAAAGGCAATGGCAGCAGAGAACGGAACAACGCTAACAGCAAAAAGAAAATAACCCAGCTAAAAATAGGAAGCAGATGGGCTGAAAGTATTCAAAAAAGAGTGAAATATTCCAGATTGTGTCTCTTCTCTACCCCACCTTTCTGAATGAGCCAAAATGTTTCCAACGTTATATCGACAATGGCTGACAGAGTACTACAGCCCAGAAGTATCCACAATTAAATTGAAATTTACTCCTCCTTTACAAAACTAAATGTAATATACTACAATAATGGATAGTCCATACATTTAATGGCCCAGATAGTAAAGCTTCAAGCCTCTCAAAGTGCAAAATACAGCATGAATTTTGTCTCAGTTTCTGGTCATCATTTGGACAGTTTTTGCCATCAATACCAATGAAAACTGCCTGTCTCTGCACCAGTGGTTACGGTGAATGTGTCACTCTGTGTGTGTGTGATGCTCGAGGATGATACGGGAAACAGTGAACCTGCATCCATATCTGCAGTACACCACCACCCCAGTGAAAGTAGGTCACTCTACTTTCACTACTTTCCTTTTCCTCTTTCGACAACTTTCACCTCAAATTAAAGTGGCATTTTTTTAGCTTGTTTATCTCTACTCTTTCTCGTCCATTTGCTTATTCAGACTCGTCTTTCATGTAACTAATAATATCGTTTATTATTCCTCACAATTCCCCTTCTCGGAGAAGATCTTCTTTTGCATCGTGCCATATGTTTGCACCCCATCTTATACACACCCACCACTATTTCCTCTCACTCCTGTCAATATCACGGGCCATGAATGGTTGTCATGGAAACAATGTCTTCCTGTGAAGCAGAAGGACAATGGTAGGAGCCATGGTGACAGTGCTTATGCTGATGGAGAATAATGCTTGAAGCTTTCTCTCACTCCCTCTCACCACTGTCTGGTCTAACCACACTCCCCCAGCAACAGCAGCCTCATTCAGACTCCCCTCTTCATTGCAGACTATGTCTCAGTTAATCAGTGTGATTTAGTCACTGTCACTCCCTCTCAAACCCTCCATTACTTATTCAATATTGCTTAAAGTGTTATTTATTTTAAATCATTTGGCTTGCAAGTCATTCTTTTAACTCCCCTCTTCCTTGTCTCTTCCAATCTCACAATCGAAGTTTTTCTATTTTTATTTCAGTTCTAGACAAAAAAACATGTCAGTTTGTTTCAGCAGCAGATTTGTGAATTACAGGGACAGACAAGGTGATGACACACAAGGAGTGATGAACAGATAGGAATGGTGACTTGAACACAAGCTTAGCCCTGGTCTCCATAATGTGGCTGTGTTAATCTGGGCGTGGGCTGTGCACCATCTGTCACAACAGGAGCAGCACAAAGCAGGCAGACAAAACACTTGGACTCACAGGCGGTCAAATACAGGGACAAACACATGAAACACAAGGCACTGAGTGCAGATTCAATGATCTGATTCAAAATCAGAAGAGCGAAAACACGGCTGTCTAAGTCTCACGGTGGAGAGCCACCACCCTGCCAGCACTGCACCCATTCTGAAACAATGGCTTCAAAGAAATAAAAACTTAAAGAGAAGAGACTGCCTGATAAACAGCGGGATTTAGCTATAAATAGCGCTTTTACTGTGAAAGTTCAGATTAACTCAACGCATCCATTTTCCAGACATGATGAAAGAGAATCGAGATGAACTTCAGTAGATAAGTCATTCTTTTGATCATCAGAAGAGCAGAGCTAGAATTTTGCATTTCTCATTACTATCACTACGAACCCTGGAGCCTTGTTTGTCACACCCTAAAATTTATATTAGAGCTAATGCAACCTTCAGTTACTTCTATTCACAGCATGGCCAACAACAAGATAAAGAGGGGGCAGGCACCCCTTGGGTTAAAATGGTTAAAATGGCACAGGATGTTGTTTCTAACTGCGACAGCCAGATGAGACCACCTTAAGTCCATGCAAGCTGATCTCATAGCCACTTGATCTGCCCTAAGGACGTCACTGCTGTCTGTTGTGTCCTTTCCCTCTTCCTTGCTTGTCTGTGTTTGCTCTTCATTTTATCCCTCAGGTTTTGAAGTGCCTGCAAGCTTTAAGTTCTCAGCTAAGGCAAGAAATCGATGGCATGGCAGAGGAGGCTGTTTGTGCGCAAGTGTGGATGGGAGGAGCTTGTGTGATATGTCTGCGTACGTACCACTCCAAAATGGAGATCACTTTAGGCCAGCTTCTTAATCACGTCCAATAATCTCCCAATCAAAACCTTATGGTGGCATCCTGACAAATTTCTCACTTTTTTTTCATTTGCATTATTTTCATTTTTTATCCAACACTAATCTTTTTTATTATTATTATTATTTAAGTCTTAATCCTTCTTCATCACACTTTTATTTCTGTATTAGCAAAAATAACAAAGTTTCTGTAAGCGAGTTAATGCATATACAACACAGCTTATTTTTCATCACAAATATTGATAAGGAGCACTGGATGTGTCAAAGTGTTTAGACTACGTTACATGTGCAAGGGTATTCACAGCTGGGTGAAAAATTAATATGGACTCCCCATGTTGATATTCGGGGAGTATGCATATCTGTTAAACTCCAGTACTTGTTGTAGTACCTCAACAGCTGCTACAAATCTTTTGAGATTGATCAATAATCCCAGCAGACTTTGTGGGTAAGTATAGGGTGTGGTAATGATCCATTTCTTCTTTTGGATGGCCAGGTTCTTGAATTATTTTTAGTTTATTAAGTTATTGGATAATCTGCAGGTATGAATAAATATTTATCTTAAACTGTTGATGTGAGTTTTTGGACTCACCAAATAATAATTATTTAAATTAATCAGTGCTGTCAACATGAAGACTAGAGTAGGTCTGTGTGTGTTGTGTTTTTTGACTTTACTAACCAGTTCTTCAGTGGTTTACACTCTAAGGTGAAAATAGCTTAACAGATTCTTACCAGCAGCACTCGATGCAGTGGGCCAGTTCTGTACCAGGACTCCCTGAGCTCCCTGCATGACTGCAGACTCTTCCATGTGGACTGAACTAAAAGACAAATGGAACATTAAAAATTAGAAAGGTAATGCTATACATAAACTACAGTTTATGCGTCTCAAAACTAAAGGGCATCAATAAATACCAGCTATCCCAAATGTAAGACTGAATTGCGTGAACGAAACAAAACTTTGGGAATAAAAATCTTTCTCAGTAACTAAATAAATAAGCCATGCTGATCAAATTGTAAAGTCTTGATGCCACTTTTTCTTTAACTCTGGGGATTATGGGTACAGATGGTCATTTTTACATTTTCACACCCTGTCTGAGTAATTTTGCACCCTCCTTCTACTGAACACACAGTCATAAAAAGGGTAGCTGCAAACTAAAGCTATCTTTATCTTGACAATAAGCATATCATTTGGCTCAGATGATAAGAGTTTTAGATAATGTTGTTTCCTGCTATTTTACCTGATCACTATAACCAAAAGAATGTCTAGAAATACATTGCTGGGTTTTTAATGTAAAATGCATATGGTGCATAGTAATTTTCCAATGATGGAGGCTGCACTTGTTTAACAGACTCCTGATTACATCAGTTGCAGTAGGCAGACAGACAGACAAAAAGACAGACCGATCGATCAATCTCCAAGCAAATGGGGCTAAATACTTGCAGACATTGCTTTTCAGATTTATGTATTTAATAAGTAAAATTAAAAACAAGGTTGACTTTTTTCCTCTTCACAAATATTCACTATACTTGGTTGATTACAAAAATACATTGACGTTTATGGTGATAATATAACCAAATGTGAGAAAGTTTCTGGTGAGGGAATATTTATATGACACATTGTACCTTTTTCTTTATTGCTAATCCTACTCTCATCAGTTTTAATAATTGATCCTGTGAATCTTCCTATTTGTCAGAGTAGTGTTAAATTACCCTATAAATATATTTGATAGATTTAATACAGGCTTACCTAAATACATTAAGTCTCATGAGTATCATCAGTAATCATAAGGGAATTTGCCAACCTATGATCTTATAATAACATCCCAAACACACCAAAGGGCACATATAAAAATTTTCTGGATTAAGTGCAAATAGATTAACAATTTATTTGAACTGTTCTTCAAGTCACAGACAGAATCATCCCGTAAAGTGTTCAGATTTTCAGACTGGACCACACTGTTAGCACAACAACCTGAAATCTGAGGACTATCCAAACATCCATATTTCTGAGTAAATGTTTTATCTATAGTTAAAACAATTTTTGAAGATTATTTAACTGTATGTCATATAACAGAGACTCTATGGTCACTTACTCAGGGTAAAAATGCAATTTTTTAAAATCAGGGTCTGATTTAAAAAACAGTGTTTTTACATCAATTATGAAATTAGACCGGATCTATAATGAAAGGGGCGAATATGAAATGCTTAGAAGAAAGAAACAGAAAATATAATCCTTACCTCTGCATTACACCACCTGCTCTCAGGGAGGCTGAGTATCTCCAGTCCGAGTTAGGTGCCTTGGGCTGCAAGAGAGAATGGAAGGAATTGAGTCTTAAGTACAGGCAAAAGCCAATACCATCTCATTAATAAATCATGGTGAGAGCTGCTGATGAATGTGTGCCACACACACACACAATCAAGAAGTGGCAGCTTTCTTCAGCCTTTGAAAGAAAAAGGATTAATGAGCAGAATACTGTAATCTTGTTGGTGCACACATTTCCTCCCATTATCACATCACCTCCCTTCTTCCATCTGTGACATTGAAAGAAAAAAAATGACTGAAAGATTTTACTTCAGCACTCAATCCAACCAGGTGTTGGGTCACAGGAAAATACAAATAAAATATATTCATCCAGTATGCATCCTTTCAACATGGCACAACCCTTAAAACAGCCTTACTGCACATGTTTCCTGAAAATCTTCTGAAGTTAGGCCAACACAAATGTACAAATACAGAAATGCCAAAATCTGTATTAAATGTATTAAATGCAAACTTATTTGACATAAATATTTATTCACATCTGCTAATTAATGTGTCACTTATCCATACTTCTCTTTCTTTTCTTTGATTATTCTGCTGCATATTCCACATCACCTTTACTCTGTTTGCTTTCATGTTTATGCTGAACAAAACCTTAACTTTCACTCTCACAAAATCTGCCAGAAAATGTAGTAAATGTCACCATGGAAACTATACAGAACCATGTCCATCTTTTACTTCCTGCCCACCATCCTCCTGCCATCTTAGTTTAGTGAAGGTCAGAGGAAACAGGAGGGTGGGGGAGATGGGATAGAGGAACAGATTTTTGGCATCATAATCAGACAGTTCCATGAAGGACAGCCTGGAAAAAAAATAATTGAACCATTCTAAAATGTATCCCTTACATCCAAGAAATGTAAAAGAAAACTCTAACAAGAAATGCTTACTCATGATGAAAGATTATGCTTGAAAGGAAGCAAAAGAGGCTGCTAATCCAACCATATCACCAAGATGAGATTGCATTTTTTCCCTTCTTAACCTTCAGAAAGATAAACTGACCTGAGTGAGGACGCCATATTTCCCCTGTTTGCCCATGCAGTTTATGAGAGACCCATTTGCAATCTCATTTCCTTTCAAATTTGACAGATGTTCTCTTTCTGCTACAGCCGCATTGACCCCCACGAGTCCGCAGTCCATATTCATCACACTCTGAATTCAATATTTGGTTTAATGAGAAAGGCCTGTTTTTCATCTCCTGTAGTAATTCAATGGAGCAGAAGGTTGACAGAGACACAAGACATTGCAGGATGTCTAGATGCCAGAAACTGAAGGCAAGGCATGTTTAGATGAAAACGGTCACTGATCTTCAAGCAATCAATGCAAGGATCAATGGTTTAGACGAGGGACCAAGATATTAATGCGGACAATATTCACACAGTCAGGAGAAACCTTTTACATTTCCCTCCAATCACAGTAAGCAACAACAAACAACCAGTTCAAAATAGGACCAGATTGTCTGCAAAATGGGATTAAACGGCTTTGTTTGCTCTTTTGTTGCACTGAAGTGGCCAAAGGCAGATTAGTCTGTTTGGCCGTATGGTGTTTATGGGGGTAAACAGAATTGCATGAACAATAAAGCACAATCATCTGGAACATAAACATGTCTGCAGTTTACTGTACACCCAAGGGAAAACAGGTTCAGATTTTCACACAGGAAACCTGAACAGAAATTACTACCAAAACAAAGAAAAATGAAATAAATTTATGCTGTCCATATAAATATTTAAATAGATTCCCATTACCCTGTAAATATTCCTATCCTTCCTACCCTTCTATTATTAGTGTGATCAAAAACACTGAGTATCGCCAGCCTTTTTCTTGCCATTTCTTCAATTATCGCATCGCTGAGTGAAAGTTCCTTCCATGGATACAGAGCTCACACCTCTACTATCAGCACTGTGTCCAATCACCTTTTCTCCCCCGCCTCATCGGCTTCTAAGCAGCCAATCCTCTCACAGAGCCAACAAAAAACATTGCTGCTATTTAATTACACAGCAAGTGCAAACATGACTGGCATTTAATGAGAAACAGGTCAGTGTATAACAGCACAATAACCTTTATGGTGTCTATTATTTTTAGGGTATTTCTTCTTCTCTATCTCTTCCTCCAGTGGTATAAATATTGTTTTATAATGTGTTTTGCAAAGAAATATATATATATAAATTTAATTATATATATATATATTTATATAGAATGGACAGTTTTGATTCATCAATGCAATGTACATGCTGAAAAGCCTCACACTATATTTTTACATTTTTCATCAATTTTTCAAATATTTTGACTTTTCAATAGCAGAGAGCTCCATGACAGGAAGAGAAGATTTACTTCTGTGAAATCTAGTAGCAGCCATTGCTGTTCTATTTTCCACACTTCACAGATGGATAATATCTAGCACCATCTGAATTCAGTTTAATATTGTGGCACACAGCTCATGACATCTGGGGTCGAAGTCACAATAAGCATCTATCTGAGAGATTTTTTTGTCACCAAAGTAAGTAAAACTGGGTTGAGATTACAATTGAGTAGATAAATAGATTTCCCATTTAAATTTTCTTGACTGTGCTGAAAATGCACAGTAGAGATATTGCTCTTAAAATCACAATGCACCACAAAGACAAAATGTTAATATGTGTGGAAAAAAAAACACAAAGTATGTTTTTACTAGTCTAGTTTCCAGCTTCTCAAAAAAACAACCAATCAAACCCTAAAAGATGTCCAATCAGCTTATATATAACCCCATATATAAGCTGTCAAGAATCATAACTAATTTATATGCTCACATATTTGGAATAAAGTTATGTGCCATACTGGCGAGCATTATGAATTAGTTTGAGAAAATACAAAGAATAAAACAAATAAAACTTAAATAGAAGAAATTAACATCTCAAAAACTCCAGTATAAATGCAAAGTCATGCATAAACACAGCACAAAGATCACACCAGACAACACACCTGTATGGCAGTTGCATCTGGCATACTGAGGCGGCGCACAAATATCTGGCTCTGTCCGCTGTGGCTGGTGACATACCCCGAGCCCCAGGTGCCACTGTGCGGCCTTCCCGTGTTGTAGAACATGAAAGTGTCACTTCCTGACGTGGCGGTCAAGCACGTCTTATAACAGTACGTTTTGGTCAAAGACCCGTTTCCTCTCACTTCAATATAATGCGGCTCCACTTTGAGGTCACGGCGCAGAGCCACATTGATGTTTTGTTGCACTCCTCCAGCTCCTCCACCACCACCTGCAGCCCTTGCTCCACCACCACCTGCTGAGGTGCCACCCTCTGGCATGTTCTTCTGGGATACACAACATGGGGAGCAGGAACCAGTCTGGCTACAGTAGGCATGACATCGCACAATGGCAAGAACAAAGACAGTGACCAGAAATACAAAGGTTGTGGCGCACAGGGCGATGATGAGGTAGAGAGTGACAGGTGAAAACATTAGCGGGCTGTCAGGCCTGACAATCTGTTTCGGATCAGGGGTAAACTTCGGAGGAAGGTCCATCACATGCACATGGATAGTGGTGGTTGAGGAAAGCGGTGGTATGCCGTGGTCTCGAACCAGGACAGTCAGAACAAAGGTAGTGGAGTTGTCTTCCATGACTCGCCTGGTGGTGCGGATCTCACCAGTGTACTCATGAACTTTAAAAAGGTCTAGGTCTTTGTTGTTCTGGTTCAAGGTATAAAACAGCCAGGCATTCTGTCCTGCATCACCATCCCATGCAGTCACCTTGCTCACTAAGAGGCCGGCTTCAGCATTTTTCATTAGTGTTCCATTTGCAGGTGGATAGACAATCCTAGGAACATGATCGTTCTGATCCATAATGTAAACATATACTGTGGCCACACGGCTAAGGGGAGGCACACCGTTGTCCTGTGCTTTAATCTGAAAGTGAAACTCTCTAAGCTTTTCAAAGTCAAAGGCTTGCAGGGCATAGGCCTCACCTGTGTCAGGTTTGATGTTAACGTAGCTGGCTACAGGTATCCCATGATTGTTGTCATTAAGGACAGTATAAGTTATGCGTGCATTTTCTGCATCATCAGCATCCATGGCCTTAACAACACAAAGAGATGCCCCAGGAGCATTGTTCTCTGTAATATAGACAGTATATGATGTCTGCTCAAAACGAGGTGGGTTATCATTAACATCTGCAACATCTACCTTGAAGCTCATTTGAGATGATAGGGGTGGCGTGCCCTCATCCACAGCATTGACTGTAACATTGTATGATGAGATAGTTTCCCTGTCCAGGAAAGCAGATGTGACCACAGTATAGTGGTTTCTGAAGGATTTAATCTTAAAAGGCAAGTTGGGCATGATCTCTAGGGATACCTGTTTGTTTTGTCCAGAATCGCCATCGTTAACACTAATCAAAGCCACCACTGTGTCTGCCCGTGCATCCTCACGCACAGGGCTGGAAAGTGAAGATAGTACAATCTCAGGAATGTTATCATTGACATCCAACACTTCTACGACTACTTTACAGTGTGCTGCAACAGGAGCTGGGCCTTTGTCCATTGCTTGTATGTACATTTCATATGTTTTAGTCTCCTCATAATCTATATTATTTCTTACCCTAATCTCCCCTGTGTTTGTGTCCATAGAAAACACCTGTCTGACTCTTTCAGGTGTGTAGCTACTAAAAGAATAAAACACTTCTCCGTTTGAGCCCTCATCTGGGTCTGTTGCATTTAACTTAATCAAAAGTGTCCCATTTGGAGAGTTCTCAGGCACTTTAACTTTATACACTGAACTGTTAAACTTAGGCACATTGTCATTGGCATCAAGGATACGGACATTGATTCTGGCTGACCCAGTTCGCTGTGGAGTGCCTCCATCTATTGCAGTCAGAATAAGTTGATGAGAGGGCATCTGCTCCCGGTCAAAGGGCCTTTTGAGAATGAGCTCAATTTGATTATTGTTGGAGGAGGGTTTAATGGAGTCCAAAGTGAGGTGGTCGTTTGGAATAAGTCGGTATTG